GGGGGGGGGCTCCCACCTCCCCTACATGGTTGGAGGGGAAGGGTTTCACCATCAGACCCAACTGCAGAATGGCTGGGATCAGAGTCCCAGTACCAGCAGTGGTGGGAGGCAAGTCACACCAAGTATAATGTAGGGACAGGGTCTCTTCCATGGGCTCCTCTACCGCAGGATAGCTATGCTATCCTGGACCCTTCTCCACGGTGGTGACATTTATCTTTTTTTTTTTCCCCATTTTTTTCCGGGGGTAGGATTCTTGTCATAGCACAGGGCGTAGCAGTAATGTCAGCCTCCGGGGGAGAGGGAGGGACGGTGGCAGTGCTTCCTCCATATCAGAGGGGCTAAGCTGTGTTTGATCCTAATGTTTTGTATGGCTGCGCGTGGCAGATTACCACCCTTAAGGGACCAGCACCCACCCAGCCTCAGGGTGGCCCAGGGAAAGGGTTTTCTGGGATGCTGGGAGTGGTGTGGGACTAGGATGGGGTGGCAGTTGTACGCACCCTTCTCTGACTTGCCCCTCTGTTTTGGGACCCTGCCAGTGGTTGTGGCATGGGGCCTTCTCATCCTATTACATGGGTTAACTTTTATAACCACCCCTCCCCCATGTCCCTCAATGGGTTAACTACCTTGTTTATCCCTCTTGACCTATTCAATGAATCTTTGCTCTTGTCAGCAGTGCCTTCTCCCCCGATCCTTTGTATTTAATTTCCTTTTTAATTAGAACCCATGCTTTCTGCAAGTCAGCTCATAGTATATGATGAAGTAGGCTGTTGCCTACAGAATCCTATGCCCTTCTCAACAGTTAGACCCCCTCTATGCATTACAGGTATAACACAATTAACTGGTTAAATGCACAATTACCTTAAGACCACCTACATATGAAAAGTAGCTATCACACCATAAAAAGCCTCCAACCAGCTATGAAGTTAGACTTCAAAAATGTGTACTAGCTTTATAGTTGGTTGCTATCAAGCTTTAATTTGCATATGTAGCAGGGTCTCCCTATTAATAGAGGCACAGCTTGAAAAGGCCTTATGCCTAACTAAGAGAAAATTTTCTTTGGCAATCACAAGAAGTCTAATCTATTGTCTTCTGCAAAATTTTAAAATACCATTAAGAAGTAGGTCTGTGTTAGTCATTCTCCCTATGAAGAATGACAAACTTTATTTTTAGCATAGGCTGGTTTCCTCCCAATTCGAAATTTTCCATAAAGAGTCTACTTATTTTATCAAAATTTCTAGTGATTTTTAACCAAACAAAGGTTGTAAAGCATGGTCAGACCAAAATGACTTTGAATCTTTAAACATAATGATTAAAAAAGCAAGATAAGATATGTGGCTTTAGAGGATTATATGTTTTCTTCCTTTCCCTGGTTAATGTTTCCTCAATATTTCCCATTTTCTGTACCCCAAGTTTGCTTCAAATATTTCAAAAACTATTCTACTTCAGGGATAACATGTTAACAATACATGATGAGTTGTGCTATCACTATTGCCCACATGCTGAAATGTAAGAGCCCCAGAGCTTCTGGTGACTGTTATCCATTCCAAAACTGAAAACACTTCCTTGGTTTGTTTGGGTTTTTTTGTTAAGGCAAAAGAAATTAAAATCGTTCAGGGAACTGGCAGCCCTTCTCTTCAGTGGCCTGGTACATGGCTGCTAGCAGGTACAAACATGCACACACTTGCATCAATTATCTTATATCCATTTAAAATTTGGTAAAACTGTGTACATAAATACATAATCTATTTACACTTGACTTAGCTTCCTTCAGTATAGATTTCAAAGGTAGATATGGTTGTCCATCTAGAAGTTTGCAATAGTTTTAATTAAAATCAGCACAAGTTCTGCATTTAGACAAATATTTAGTCACCAACTCAAGTGTCCACTAGGTCAGTGATTCTCAACCATGGTGCCATGGCACCCTGGAGTACCCAGAGATGCTCTCAAGGGTGCCATGCAATGTTAGCTCTGTTAGGTGTACAATCATCATTCATGAGATAAACCCAGAGTTTTCAAATAGGAATCCATACCATTAAAAACATTCTGACCTGCTGTGGTCTTTTTGAATTCTTTGCAACAGAAGAATTGCTCTATTTTTCTGTAGATAAAAAAACAAATGAATACAAAAAAGGATTATTTTTTTTTAGGTCGCCTTCACAAAAAATCCAGTAAATAAAAAAAACCTAGCAAGTAAATACTGTTCAGCATCGCAGGTGGTTCTTCCACACTCTTGTAGTGTTCACCATACCCCATAAGACTAGAGAAGCACTGATACTAGCTAAGCTACTCCTGATATGAGAAATTAGTTAGAGTGTCTATCATCTTTCCCCAACAATAAGCTACATTGCTGCTTTAAATAATACATCTGCCTAGCAATCCAGAAATGTTCCTACTCTTTCTATTTCTGCTTCTCTTTAATGCACCTCATAAATATTTCTTCCAGAATTTGAAAGCCAACGGTATAACAATAGGAATCTGAAAGTGAAAAATGTCATTAATGCACTGAGCAAGCTGAGATAAGTGCAAAAGCAGGCAAGAAACATAGCTTCACCTGCATTTTTTAAAGCTCTAAATCTGCGATTGATTCTCAACCAAGGATCTGCTGTACAAGACAAAATAAACCCAGGGATTTCAGATAAGGAATCCATAGTGTTAAAACCATTCAGACCTGTTGTGGTCTTGCTGAGATCTTTGCAAGAGAAGAATTGTTCTA